TAAATATGTTGCATGTTTTTACTAAAAGGTGATTTTGTCTTAACACACCTTAGACAATGCTGCAATATGAAACCTGATTCACCCTGCCATAAAGGGCCAGTACCACATTTATTCGAGCATAGCTAGAGTCTTTGCCACTAAGTGATAAGTCATCCATGGTGCATGTCAACCAATAAAGTGGAATGACACGGGGGTGAAAGTATTGAACACGTTAAGATTTCAGCTGGTTCCTTGCCTTTTCTTAACTTTTTTCCTGTGTCAGTCCACTTTATTACACATAAATTTATTTATGGACTTTATTGTTGTGAATTCTTTATATTTCCGGATTTCTTGAGTTAATACTGGTTTTTGGTGAAAATTTCATGAAAATAGCCTCATTGGAAATATATTTACTGAAAAAAATGTTGACACATCCAATACTTATTTCCCCCGCTGTGTGTGTGTGTGTGTTTGTGTGTGTGTATATATATATATATATATATATATATATATATATATATATATATATATATATATATATATATATATATATATATATATATATATATATATATATATATATATATATATATATATATATATATATATATATATATATATATATATATATATATATATATATATATATATATATATATATATATATATATATTTATATATATATATATATATATATATATATATGTGTGTGTGTGTGTATATATATATATATATATATGTGTGTGTGTGTGTGTGTGTGTGTATATATATTTTTAAAAAGGGTTCTGCATGTTTGTCAAAATTCAGCATGTATGATGAGTTAAAATTAGTTACAGGTTAGTTATTACAAATTAGTTACTAAGATGCAGAATGAACATTTTTATCTTTTTTAGAATCAATGAAATCCCAAAGAAATCACTATTATTTGTTAAATAACAGTTGTTTTTTGTCTGAGATTGGGGATATACAGTATGTATGTGACCAATGCAGAGCGTCTAAATCAGTGGTGTCAAACTCATTTTAGTTCAGGGGCCACATACAGCCTAATTAGATGTCAAGTGGGCCGGGCCGGGCCAGTAAAATCATAGTATAATCACCTATAAATAATAAGAAGTCCATGTTTTTACCTTTGTTTTCATGCAAAGACATTTATATTTAATGAAATATCCTTCTATAAAATATATCATGAGCAACCTCAGATTTCTTAAGACGAACATGTGCAATTTGCTTCTGATTATCATTCACATATATGTGCATTACAACTGCTCACAGTGTTTGTACAAATGCAAAAAAAAAACTTCACAGGTATTTGGAACTGAAAAATATAGTATTTCACTTTAAAATCTATGGCATTGCATGAACAATAGGATTCCACCAAACCAAACTCTTTTGTACTGAAGCTGTTGACTAACATTAAATTGCACTTAAAAAAAAAAAACTATTACCCATTCATCTCTGTGAATAAATAGGAAGCGGTCCATTTTTCATGTAAAACTCTACATTCTGTATCCACGTTTCTGCTTTTTGTCAGACATTTTGTCTAATGAGGGTGTGGGACGAGTAGAAAATAGAGTAGACTACTCCGTGATAACAAATAGCAGACGTCGCATTGCTGCCATCTGCTGTTCAGTCCCAGAGCTGTGCCGCGTCTTTTACCCCCTAGCGGATTATTTAGGAATAGCATTTTATTAAAAATGACAAGTTCGTGTCTTTTATGCATATATTTTTTTTCACTTTCAAAATTCGTCCATGCGGGGGATAGATAGATAGATAGATAGATAGATAGATAGATAGATAGATAGATAGATAGATAGATAGATAGATAGATAGACAGACAGACAGACAGACAGACAGACAGACAGACACTTTATTGATCCCCAAGGGGAAATTCAAGATCCCAGTAGCTCAGAACATCTCACACAATACAACATACAATAAAATAAAATAAAATAAAATATAAGCAGAATGCTAAAAAAAATAGTAAAACAGTTAAATTTACCAATCACGGATTCCCAGACTGAGAATTAAAAATATTTATCAGTTATAAAAAAATTCCAAGCTCTTTTGTGTAACTGGAGATGATTTAATATCAATGCAGTTGTCTTGGTATCTTGAAAGATATGACTGTTAGTGTAAAGGTTTTGGACATTAGTCCCCGACTCAATCTGAAACCACAGTAAGGGCTGTATTCAGAGTGGCTGCCTTAAGTTCAAATGTTTTAGCAATATTTACGGAGTGAATTCAGAGTCTGGTTACATAAGTGCCTAAGATGATTTTGTAGGTGCTCCATTACGATTATTAAAATAACCTGTGTGTAGTTTATTCCTCCAATGTTGCCAGATTTCTTTTGAGTACAAGCAACAGGGTTTTAAATAGCATCTGTACCACTGATTGTAAAAGTGGTGTCTGGAGAGCCCCAGGGATCGGAAAAGCAAATGTCTCAGGTTATTGTCCTGGTTGACTACTCACTTGATTGGAAATTGTCTAATTCAAACCTCAATAATTCATAAACAAGCAGTTCTATAAATAATGTCATAAACTTGGACTGAATTAATTCTGTTAGTGGAAATAAAAGGTCAGGAATAAACAGTATTGAATTTTTTTTTGTCAAATATAATATGATAATCTAAACGAAGAAACAATAATTAAAAAAAAACTTCAGCATAGTAAAATGACGTCAACAAAAAGACAGAAATCATTGAAAAAGTGCTTAGTGAAAATTAAAAAATTAAAAATGAAAAATACTGAAAGTATGAATTAATATTTACTTCAAATGGCATTTCACAATAATTTGTAGAATTACATTGGCATGACATTGTGGTTGCATGAGACTATTAGACAATGGAGATGGACTTAATACTGCTCCTTATTCGATCTGATATCACACAAGAAAAATCTGCTTAAGTTCAAACTAGAATCATGTCTAACTGAGACAATTTTCCCCCCTCAAAGTTTCCCTTGTGTGCATAACTCTCGTGAAATTTCCGAATAATGCTGACTAAGTCTGCAGTGCTAAGTTTGAGGTGTGAAACTGATACCACACTCTCTGAGTAAAAAAATTAAAGTTGCATTTTTGTATTTAAATACTTCTGTTTCTGAATAAATAAGCATTATGTCATAAAAATAACAATTCTGTTTTGATTTGATGGTCAGAAGCTGTACTAAATGATCACAATGACCTAAAAATCACAAACATGACACTTTTAAATAAAATTATTTTATATATGCAATTTATTAGATCCTTAAAAATAAAAAAGAGCTAAATTGTGAAATAACATACTTGTTGGAATTATACAAATGAATACAATAACTTGCTAATAGTCCATCACCTGAATCTTTCTAATTGGCATGGACCTCCAGTCACCGTTGTTCACACGGAATTTCAATAGCACCACTGGGCCTAAGCCGTGAGCCAGTTTACCTTCTTCAGGTCTGCTGAGAAGTGAGTGTGGGGAAATATAACCCCCAAGGGGCTAGTTGTCAGGTCCTCCGCAGTTGGAAAGATGCAGTGGTTTATCTGGCCCAGTCTTCTTTTCCTCAAGTGACAATTTGTGTCCGTTGATACATCTTCAGATGCCCCCGGCCCAGGACAACCCAGAAGAAGCCCAGACCCACCCGGCGCTGCGTGTTCAGCTCCTCCGGGAATGTCCAGGTTCCCCCAGGAGCTAGGGTCAGGTGGTCACCCTCTTCACAGGTTACTCAGGTTCCCCACCCATTGCCCGATGCTGCGTGTCCAGCTCCTTCGTGCGCAGGGTGGGTTGCCTCAGTGGCCTGCTGTGGGCTTGTGAAGAAGTCAGGGGTTTCCACTTGGGTTTTGTTGAGGACAGAAACTGGTCTTCTACAGATAAAGACAAGTCTGTTCAGTCATAGCAGCTTGGCTCCATTTAGCTCATTTGCAGTAGTTCCAAGGGAGAACACTCTCAAATTTTCTGAAGTTCCTGTGCTTAGTGTTGCATAATAAAAAACGAAGCCGACCAATGTGCGAGACGTGGATGGACGAATGTACACTTGCTATAACACTTCCTGGATGTATTCCTCCATGGCTTGTTGTTCTGCTATGGAGGCTGTTTACAGAGGGTGATGGTGCGTCCCCCAATGGGCCCTCAGTCGATTTGTGCAGATGTACAGGGGAGGTATCAGTGTATGAGTCAGGATGTTAAGGCAGTTCACGGCTTCCTGGTCGATGAAATTGCCAGCTGACCCAGAGTCTATCAAGGCTGCCAACACATACAATGTGACTTGGAACAAATGTGATTTGTAAAATAACAAATGATAGGGACTCACTGTTTCAGAATGGGAGGCAGCGCTCCTGTACGTGGCCGAACCTGGTTTGGCTGGTGGCTTGGCTCAGAGGGGGCACTTCCAGAGGTACTGGAAAAAACATCTCTGCATTGTTTTTTTCCTTTCTCCTTCATTGAGTTTGCCACATAGGAGTTGAATGGGTTCAGACAGACAGCTTGCTCCTTGGGTGGGTGGGTGGTTTAATGTTAGGGTGCAGTAGTGTGCTGCTGAAGAAGCTGCTCAGGGATACAGAGGATGAGAGGAATTGCTCATGATAGACGCCAGCTTAGCTAACATTCTCCTCTCCCTCACCGCCTCTATGCTGTCCAGAGGGTAGACCAGGACAGAACTAGCCCTCTTAAAAAAGTTTGTTGAGACGTTTCCTGTCCCTCTCTGTGCTCACAACTTCCCAGGAAACTACTGCATAGAAGATAGCAGATGCTACCACAATGTCATAGAAAGATTTTAGCAGAGTCCTGCACACACCAAAAGACCTCAGTCTCCTCAGCAGGTGGAGACGACTTTGGCCCTTTTTTATACAGGACATCTGTGTTTGTGGACCAGTCCAGTTTTGTGTTGAGATGAAGAGGGGTTTGGCATGGGTTCTTTTGGGTTTGTTGAAAGCAAGACATATTGCTGTGTTCTGAATCATCTGAAATGTCAATAACACATGTCTTTGGAATGTGGGAGGAAACTGGAGGCAACCCCTGAAGCATGGGGAGAACATGCAAACTCCACGCACACATGGTGGGAATCGAACCCCAAATCCTGGAGGTGCAAGGCAAATGTTATAACCACTAAGCCACCATGTTAAGCTGATTTCTATTTGCACGTCCTCGATTGCCGATATACTTACAGAGGTAACGAGAGATTCGGTATGTGGCATTTGGATTGTAGTGTTCAGTCACATAAACTGAACGAATGTACCCATCACGCTTCACTCCGACTATGATGCGGTCCATATTACTCTCATCACAGTAGCCGGTACAATGTCTTCGGATGTAGCTGGGTAGATGACGTGCTCCTGGTTTTTTCAGATTACCTAACACATAGTACTTCCAGCCATCAGGAAGGAGTGGAAGGAGTCGCTCTCTGTTCATAAATTCGTGGAAACCGAAGTCTTCCTTCTCTGGATGACAGAGTTGATAAAGATTGTTTTTATGACTTTGGATGATCCTTAAAAACCAGAACAGAATTAGGCGACCATGACGTGGCCGAGGCGAACCAAATCGACTGTAATCCAGCGCTGCTAGGGTACGCAGTATTGGCGGTCTAAGACACAAACACACAATCAGACCTCTTAACAGAGAGGAAACTCTTAACAGAAATGTTGGGGTTACGCATGTAACACTGTTCCCTGAGAAGGGAACGAGACGTTGCATTTAGCATAACAGTCTGATAATGCCTTGCACGTGACCAGTATCTGAAGCTTGTGTAAAATCATGCCTCTACGTATAGGTGGCCTTATACAGTGGTTTGGATGCAAAGCCGGCCCCAATAATTACCTGCCGTCGATGAAGAGAGGTAGCTCGCAAGCGCCTCCTCCACCTTGAGCATAGCTAAATAGCCATGCCGTTCATTCCCACAATGGCTGAATAATCCAACATCGTGGGGTTATGAATATGGCTTATGCATGGTTTTCCCCCAGAAGCCTGATATTTTGTCATGCACTTCTGAAAGACAGTGGAGTTTCTGCAGTGTGAGGGATTTACTTTCACTGGCTCATCCAGCCTTAGTAATCACTTCAAGCAGCTCTTTATATGCTGCTCTCAGATTTTAACACATCCTTCTAACTCCTCGGAGTCAGAGAGGAATTATTACTTTTTGGCTTTCCATAGCAGAAGGAAGAGTCGCGACGCGAGCTCCAAAATCCAGCAGACAGCCGAACCCGGAAGACAGAGCAAGAGCAGCACTCGTCTCCAGCTCCTCTTCTGGATCCTCTTCAGGATATATAAGAGATCCCCTGAACCTGAGATGGCTGGCTGCCTCGGCAGCGACTAGCCCAGATCCGCGAGGCTCTGAAACCCGACTTTGGCATCTGAGAAGAGTGCGAGTCGCAAGCCAAGCTGCTTAATGTAGAGGCTGCTTGAGGCTGCCATAGCATACTATACCGCTAACACTTCACCCAGCAAGTATGCGCTATTCCCGTGATGAAACGGGAGCAAGCCATAACACACTTCTTGAATTCTTTCTCGCTCATTACTCACCTCTCTTTTCCTCTAAAAAAGCGATAGAAAAGTTAAGAGGTTTTGAGAAAATATCGAGTAGAAATGAAGCGTTTTTTTCACACAAACAAGAGACATGCAGTCTCGCTGAAGATAATAAGGCTGGCGGCGTGGTTCACAGGTGCCATTTATATCATGCGACGTGCTTAATTGCCACGTCACATGATCATGGCAGGCATGATTTTACACAAACTTCAGATACCGGTCATGCACGCAAGGCATTCCCATACTGTTATGCTAAATGCAACGTCGAAGTTCCCTTTGAAAGGGAACAGTTGCTTTAACAGATGCGATAGTAAAAACTTAGATATGAAGATATGGCTAAAGCTGCATGCACGCCCTTACAGTAGACTGACTGAAATGTTAATCAATAACAATCTTGTGGCTAAAAATGTCTACAGTGAATAAAATGTCACCAGTTTCCGTTGACTAAGATAAGACTAAAATGCCAAAACTTTTAGTCAACTAAAACTAACAGGATAAGGTCGATTAAATATTATAAATACTATCAAGGACATTTGACACAGGACTAAGACTGAGACTAAATAAATAAAAAAATAACTTACAAAACTAACACTAATTCAATCAGAGCATAAAACTCCAGTACTAACTCCAGTACAGAAAGACTTAACAGCATAGAACGCTTTGTTTTCCAGCGCTGAATATGACAATTTCATGTGAATAGCCTCATTGGAAATATATTTGCTGTAAAAAATGTTGACGAGCTCAATATTTATTTCCTCCACGGAATAAGTTAGTCTACACACGCCTATTAAAATGGCAGGTTTTTGTGTAAAAGAAAAAAAAGGAAATTTAGACAAATCTATGTATGTACAAATTTATGTATATATATATATATATATATATATATATATATATATATTACACAAACACACAATATCGGTCAAAAGTTTGGAGACGCTCGACTGAAATGTTTCGCATAATCTTAAAAACCTTTTGATCTGAAGGTGTATGATATTTAAATATTTAAATACTCCAGACTTTTGATGACATTATCATTATTGTAAAATGTGGGATAATAATACAAATAAAGAATGAGTGTCTAAACTTTTAACCGGTTGTGTGTGTGTGTGTATAGAAAAAAAATTAAAAATAAATATATCTATATATATATATATATATATAAACCCGAATAAAGTCACCCTAACTTTTGTGATGTAATGTTACCCACATCAGGGACAGTGATCTTTTATTTATTTATTTTATTAAAACAAATGTAAATATACATATGTGACCTGATAATCTGAAAGTAATCATATTATACTTTTATAATACTTGGATTACGTTATTGATTACATTTTTTAAGAAGTAAATTGGAACTGTAACGGAATAAATTTTTTAATTAACCCTCCCAAACACTGTATGTGTGTGCGTGTGTATACATATATATTTATATATATATATATAACTCTAAATAAACATTAACCTCACCTCGTTAAGCCATGTGCATGTTAGCAGCATGCTAGTTAGCTTGCTCTATTGTACCTTAAATATTAAATATTTGTTTACTTTGCAAAACACACACAGTTTCCTGTGATATACTGTATGCTTTATTCTTTATTTTGTTCGTTCGTGCCATATCTTTTACCCGTGTTTTCTCAACATGGCAGCATGCGTTATCATACTGTATGGCGTGCGCATAACTTGTGTTCCGGTGACATAACCGGAGTACCCGGAAGGAATTCTTAATAAATTATTATTATTGTTATTATTGTTTTTTGTTATTGTTAATATTATTATTATTATTATTATTATTATTATTATTATTATTATTATTATTATTATTATTATTGTCACAGCTCAGTCCGACCGGGACTCCGGTTCCCAGAATCCAACACGAGCGCGCATGCGTTCAAGGTCACCGGAGTTCTGATTCGCACACTGTGCTAGCGGGCACTGGTATTTAAGTAGACATTCTATCAGGTTATACGTCATAATTGTTATGCGTACCAATTTCGTATTCTGTAATTCACTGTTGGTTTCGATTCCGTTTGTTTAAGACCACGCTTCTGGATTATCCACACGATTTGTTTATGGTTTATCTCACAATTTTGACCACGTCTCTGGCCCGTTGCTGAACATTACCTGTTCGTCTTGACCATCTGCTGTACGACAGTTCAGTTATTGTTCAGTATTGTTACTCATTCTGTACCCTCAATTTACTGTCTAATGGTTTTCTCACGTCGTCTCTCCCCCCACAATTATTATTATTATTATTATTATTATTACATTGCAATAATTTAATAATGTATAATTAATAAATGCATTTTATTATTAAAAGTAAATACAGGAATATATAAACCAGTTTTTAAAGTATATGAAGTTATGTACTCTCAGGTATAAATTTTGACATTTTCTCCCAGTGATTGTTTTTTCACTATCTAATCTGTATCAGGTATTGTCTAAAACTGACGATATGTATGAACACTAGGATCCCACATCCAATAATGTACTGTTGGAGGCACTTTATCCAACTTCCTCTTATAATCTTTGTTTAGATTTATACGTTTGGTTAATGATACCAATAAAAATGAGCATTTATAATTATTTTGTACATACCATTGTATATAATTGTAGACGATCTCCTCTGAACAACAGGTGATTAGAAGTCCTAGGTGTGTCCATCTGGGTAAAATCCTTGTCTCAAGTCCAGCGAAAAGTAGCTCCAAAAAGGATATAAATGACTTGCACACGTATTACTAATAACCCAATAGACCATTTTTTATAAAGGATTTTTTTTAGAAAGTTATAAAAAGCAATAAAAAGGATTATGAAGAGAGCTACAATGTCAGAGTACTTTGGTGATACTTTCAGTTCCCCATGCAAATACACTTATTTGGTTGTACAGACAGACACACCCAGACATAGACAAACGCATCCCACATACACAGCATAATGAAAAGTGGATTATCAAAAAAAAAATTATATTTCAATTATTTCAGGTTATTATGTTCGTGATTATTGACTATTTTACTAGTTTAGTAGTGACCAGTAATTAAAATAAAAAGTCACCTAGTTGGATCAACTATCCATATCCAAATACACAGTATAATAAAATAGGAGTCTCCAAGACACCCCTGACAAAACATCAGAAAAGTGTCAGTGCACACTGTGAACATACAACACATACAGTAGCATAGTGAGTTGGTGTGTGTTAAGTAAAGGCTTATAACCACAACTAGCAGCAAGTTCCTGGTTTTGAGACATAAATTGACTCATATGGTGTACCTGTTTGACAGGTAATACCGGTATGTGTAGTTGGACAGTGCATAGTGCCATTCCGGACAGTGCATCCGCCATACCTTGTATCTATAAAAGTGGTATAGCATTTAAAAAAGAGCTAGATATGGTGGTGGGGTAACTAGTAGTGATTAAATGAATAGTGTATGATGATGATGATGACTATGATGATGATGATAATGATAACTATGATGATGATGCTGTCTGTGGAGTTTATTCTGAAGGAGGTGGTTGGGAGGCAGTTTATTATTGAGAGTCCTGACAGCTTGTGGAAAGAAGCTGTACCAGAATCTGGTGGATTTGCCTTGGACACTTTGATATCTTCT